TTCTTCATTTTTTTTTAAATATTTGATATTCATACACGGAGCAGAAGCAAAGAGTATTTTTTTGATTTTAGAGTGCCAAAATTTTGGTTGCGTAATTTAAGCAGCATTCGGTTTCATGGAAAAGTTAGACTCATTTTGCACCAGTGTGAATCAAACAGGTCTTTTTAATGAAACCGAATTCAAGAACACAACCGAAATTACGTGACTCATGACTCAAACAATTTTGCTCGCTTGGCTTCACCCTACGGAAATTATAATTGAAGAACATTTTAACTAGAAAAAAAAACTACTCGGTCAAGTTTTCAGACAGGATTCGAACCATTTAGTATTTCTTATGGCACGATTACACTTAGTTGTTAGCTCGAATACGAGTGCCAATGGAATTCGGGGTAAACGACAAAGTGTTAAAGGAACGGAGTCGAGTACGTTCGTATTACAATGTAAATATTGCTTCGGGTACCCGAATTCGAGTAATGTCTTTCGTACACCCGAACACGGGCTAACGACCAAATGTAATTGAGCCATTAGGCTGCAACGCGACATTTCTTCGCATTGTCAGAAAATTAATAAGGAATTCTTGTTTATCATTAATCTTCTCGATTCATAAATCTAAAGAACTGCTTTTTTTACTAGAATAAAATCCATTCGGTCAAGGTATTAGGCAAGATTCGAACCTACGACGTCTTTCGCTGTCCGGGCACATGCACAGAACGGTAGCATAGCGGTTAGTACATGCGCTACTTCTAAATAAGTAAAGTCTCGCTTCTGTAAGGTTTAAGTCCCACTGCAAGTGCTTAGAGCCTTGCTCCCTAACTAAGTAACCTTATTTTAGTTTGCTTTCACTTGAGTACGAAAAATTATAAGTAAAAATTCAAAGAAGATGAGAAGATACAAAAACAGTTATTGATCGATCTAAATTTCATGTTAGAAGTCAAAGTAATAATTTTAAGTTTTTTTCTTTGCCCTTCTTACAATCGGTCGGCAAACCATCATTCGCAGATTAGTGTTAAATCCTCTATAATTTGTACGGAACTATTCGTGTAGAAATACGATTTTTTTCCACTAGCGCTTGACCGGTTAAGTGTGTGTCCCAAGCTTTATGTGATGGCCTCAATGGACGGCCCATAAATATTTTTTAAAAGCTATGGTGTTTGTTCACCTTCTGGCGTGTAATATGCATGTCCGCCCCACTTTTAATCATTTTTTAACATGAATTAATAAATACACACTACCGTAGAATGAAAATAATCAACAATGAAACAGTGGTGTAATAATTATCATTATTTTTTATTTGAACCGAAATTCAATAAATACACATTTACAGTAAAATCTTGATATTATAATTAAAATTATCTACAATTACATTTAACTTAAATAATAAATGTGACTATAAACTCGCGATTAACAGACGAATACTGCGTTAATAATTATCAACAACATCCTACAATAAAACTGTTTATTTTAGAATATGTTCTACAAGCTTACACTTAACTCGCGCCAAAAAAACTAACGAATCGCAAATGACGACGTAATACATTCTGTCCTTCTCGCACATGTTGTCCTAAGTAACGTGCGAGAGTGACAAAATGTCTTGCGTCGGTATTTTCTATTCGTTTTTTTTAATTGCTCGAGTGATTTTGCAGCGTATCTTTAGCAATTAATAATATTTGACGAAATTTTGAAACCACTACGACGTAAATTTTATTGCTCCATGACACAATAAATACATACTTAGACACATTATAATTTCGTTCATTTCTGTAGGTGTTTGAAAATCCTAAAACTATATTTTTATATTGAGTAGTTATGCCGGCACCACACGTGTCCCGTGAAATGCCGTGAAATAATGTGAATTGGCGCCGTTCGTGAATTCACATCTACATCGAACGCGCGTGAAGCCGCGAGAACCATCCAAATTTACTTTCACGATTTTTCGCGGAGCTTCACGGCACATGTGTAGAGTCGGCATTACACAGAAGAATTTGTTTATTAAGCGCTACGGGATTTGTTCTATAAATAAAAAAAAACATGTTGAAATTCAAAGTAATAATTATAAAATAAGCTTTTTTTCTTTGTCCTTCTTACAATCTCACAACTCGGACGGCCAACCATCATTCGCAGATAAGCGGATTCCATTCAGAAGTTGTATGGTATAAGACCCTCGCGATAGAAACTATTTGTGCGACCGCTTATATAATGTATACCGCATAATGTTGCCATTACATAAATAGCAATTCCTTATAAATTCAAATTAACATAAATATATAAAAAAATCATATAGTAATTATAACTTCTTGGACTCGGCTACTTTGTTTCCCAAAATCTTTCTTACAATCCTTAGGTCTCTGGCTGTTTAACTGATATAAAGACCGATTGTATTTACTACCGTGCTATGGAATGTGATACACAAATACCTAATTTTTAGTGTAACTATCCCTTCAAATATACTTGTGTTACATCTGAGTCCAAGTTCGGCGTATAGGGAGCTTAAATTTACTTGATACCAAATAACCCAATGGGTAAGGGGCTTATTTATAAACTATTAATAAAAAAAAACAGAAGCGGTACCCAATAAGCTACCTTAGAAATACAACAATGAGTCAGATACAACAGTGAATATAATAATATAAACACGACATTCAACAGTGATATATAATATAAGGTATAATAGATTTTAATGACTTACACCTAATTGATATGTAATGTATTTGGCCAGTGGCACTTTCGTATTTAGCTACAGATACCACTTACCCGATATGTTTCTTGCTGGTTCCCTTTTGAATTCCATCAAATATAGAAATCCGACCGATTTTGATGCAATAAAAAGTTTAAAATCGATGCAAGAAAGCATGCGTCATGCAAAGCGTCTGCTAGGAAGAAGCTGGAGAAATATGAGATCATTCAAAGGTTTCTTGTTAACCCAAAATAATTGTAGACACCTTTTTTTTATCTCTTAAAATTATCACTGTAGATGAGATTCCAACTTGATCTTTATATGCTATTATTTTCAGTATTTTTTTACTTGATATTGAAAATTTTCGTAAAATATACGACTATACTTTGATGAAAATAAACATTATAATATGATAAGTTGACACATATATTTTCTTGCACCGACAAACACAATTCTTCACATTTTTTAAATGTTTTTTTTCATAAACTTAATTTTAACTTGCGTCAGATTAGATCTAAACGTTTATATTATAAACCAGTAAATATATTTTTGACATTCACTATAACACGACATTTAAACACCGAAATATAATTTTGTAAATATATTGTTTAAATAGTTTCACTACAATTAGAGAGACGGTATATTAATATGAGACGTTCCTTAGCTTATCAGGTTATTCGACTCTGATTTTCGTAGTACATTTACCATAAATAGAATGAATATATATAACAAACATTTGTATAGACAATTGTGCATTACAGTTATATTGTGCATATTTGTGCATTTATCTAATTGAATACATATCTGTGTGAAAATGTTACAACATCAATGACAAGTATATTTAATTCGCTTACAATAACTATATTGGTGAAATATTATTTATATCTAATAAATCATGAAAAACGTGTAAATGTTTGTAAAATGAATACAATAAAAGTATTCACTCTCGCGTCTTACTCACCAAATACACGGTTTTCAATTACACAAAGTTTTAATAGTAATAAAGAGGGATAAACTCGGGGTAAAAATGAATTTCGTATTTGAAAATTTTCTCAATTAATAAATTGGTCTTTCGATTTCTATTTCTTATCAACAATTATCCTCGGAATCCTAGATATTAGCCTCACACCGAAAAAGCCGCCCTTTTATACTTTTTTTATTTTTGCTAAACAATCTTAAACTATTAAATTCAGGCTAGTAAAAGATATGTTTTAGGTTACAGTTTTATCACGCGAGAAAAATTCTTTAATAAATTCTTATTAGTGCAACGACACATTACGATTGTCATCGCTTATTCTTTTATTAACGATCAATTTTACGTTATTAATTTTAAATGAATTACTTATTCAATAATAATTGATTAAAAATTTCGAGAGTATGTGACTGTAATCGTTCAAATAAAATAAAAATATCCGATAATTAATCTTCTTGAATGAATGTGTGAAGGTATTTTAACTATAAATTAAAATTTGATCTTTTTACCCTATGTAAGTATTATTATTATAAATAACATGCGCGTGATTATTATTGAAAATTCTTCTGACTTACCAGCAAAAGTAATAAGCTAGCAAACGATGCCTAGAGTCACATTTATTACTCGTCTACCTTAAACTTGTACAGCAATATAATTTTACCGAACCACATATCAAAGAATGTCGGTAAAGCTAAAATAACACAGCTTATAAAAGCTCTTAAGATTAACCCATTAATCAAAGAACGTAAAGAACTAAACCGCTCGTAAACAACTCTTTATCAAGAATCTACAAGTGTTAACGTATCAACAGCTTTAAATGTATTCCGACAAAAAATTATCTAACACTTACCCTACTATCACCTAGAATCTATGCGAAATCGAACTTTTTTTTATTAGGGTCACTATTTTTGTGTAGAATGAATACAGGAGTATTGTAAAACAGGCTCAACACCTTATGACAGAACTATGTTTTCAGGGAAATTTAATTTTGAAATACTATTCTTGCAGTATTTGTTTTCTTTGAGTGCACACGGGTAATTAATTAGGTAACCATCGTTACCATAGACAGATGTAGAAAAGAAAATCCATAGGCGGAAGCACTGTTGTTTGAGTAAAAAAAAAATCTTACAAAACTATGTTGATTACTTTAGTAGATACATAGCTTGGTTACAAGAAGAGTATACCATAGAGTATTCTTAGAACAGTTCAATGTTATTGGAAATGGATACTTGTATGTAGTACGTAAATATAGCTTAAAACCTCCAAATATCCTTACAAGTACAGAATATATAATAATATTTTAATAGTCAACATCGTAAATGCGTAAAAGCTTATCATAATTACAATCGTAAAGGCAGGGGTAAACTAATATAAAAAAATATGGAAACATTTATGTCAAGGGCGTTAGTGTAAACAGAAAATTGTGCAAGATTTTGTGTATAGCTAGCTCCTTAATAAATCACTTTTGTTTTTTGATTTGAAAATAGTGTTCTGCAGACACTACATATGGATATTCATAATTACTGCTATTTGTTAGATTGCTAGCATTCCCGATAGAGCATCATGGCTGTTAAATTTACAAATAACAAATTCGAAAGAATACCCACGTGAAATGCTAGTATTACATAATTATTATTTACGTGTAATCAAGACATTGAGCCAAGAGAAACGTTGTGTTTTGCCTTTGCATACAGAGTGTAATAGCATTGCAATATGTAGCAGAAACGTCATTTAGATCGATTGATATCGATATCGATAGAGATAGGTCGATATGTTTTATGATAATTGTCACTTTTATGACGATTACTTTCTTGATATACAATTCAAAGCGTCGCTCCAAACTATGAACACTCTGCTTAATAGATAGGCAAAATACTAACAAATATAGCTATATCTTGACTTTTGATGACTGCAGTCTTTTGTTTATGATTTTCTTTTATAATTACTTCCGTTACTACGTTATCTTTTTGCTTTTTTTTTTGCTAAATTTCGTCATTTGCTCAATTTGCTCATATGAACACAGTTTATTGGGCGTCATTCAATTCTACATCGATAAATATGATTCAACCGTTAGCCTCAATCTATGAAGTCTAACATTAAAATTTATACTCTTCTCCAGTGATACTTTAGAAAGATTGGTGTATAGAACTCGTTTTTTTTTTCACCTACTTTTCGATACATTACTCTAAAGTAAGGCATTACGTAAGTGGTTTTACTAACGTGTAAAAATACCGTACCACACTAACTTATACTCACCCTTTATAACATCCAACTTCTTATCAAGCTACCGCTCCATAATAACTATTTTAATTTCATTTGTTTCTTATTCAGCCCAAAATTGATATGTATCGTATATTTTTATTGCACAAATTCATCACGTTACGAAAATTTTGAACGAAACTTTTCATTCGAAGGCGTTCGATCGCGGCATCCGGCCACAGCTGCCGCGATTGTGGGTCTTCGATTAAAAATCAAAATACGAAAGGACTAAAACAATTTTGAAGGTGTTCTGAAGCGCCTAGAGTATTCTCATGAGGAATACCACCAGAGCGTTGGTGGCGACATTGACGGTGTGGCAAGTGGTAGGGGCTCCTGATGTCCTGCCGTATGCTGGTTTCCTTTTGCAATTCATCTTCTCGAGGGGCATCTTCGCGACGCTGTACTCTCTGTGCTCGTTCACCATAGTGCACACCGTTCGCTTCTTCTGCATCATCTCGTCGTCACGGTCCCGTAGACCGGCAAGCCACGCCTCGTACCAGGCTAGCTCACAGTCGCATAATAAAGGGTTGTCTGTACAAAAACAAGTAACGGTGTCAGATTTAATCACCTTTTCAGCACCAAATGAGTCAAATTTTATTCAGCATTTAGGAAAGACAGGTTAATATATAAACCTGTCTTTTTTATATTTTGTAATAATTTCAGTTCATAATCAACAACAAATAGTTTTTTTTTTAAATAATCCATAAGTGCCTATTGCTGCCTTTACTGACATGCTCAAACTAAATGCTATGAAACGAGATTGTGAGTTCAAGTTATTGTTAAAAATACAAAATCGTGATGTCAGCTACCACGGGATCATTACTGATATAGCTGCCTATACAATAACGAAGACATGAAATTTAAACAATACTTAGTTATACCATTTAAACTCTTACTTTTGACGTTTAAGACAGTCTTTTTTGATTGAGATAAGTTGGAATTATACGCATCTAAGACGTATTTCAAGGAAGAAGTTTATTTAACGTAACTTCATCATGCAGGTGACAGCGGACACAAAATTTACCTTATATCAGGGTGTGGTGGTTCAAAACCAGGTCTGCTATTATTTTAGTCCTACTTCACAATTTTACTGGCACCCATACTCACCCATGATATCAACTACTCGCAGCGTATCCAATATGGGCTCCATGATTTCCTCCGGAATATGTTGCAGCTTGTTGTTTTGTAGATTGAGGGTCTCCAGGGAGTTGAGATTGTCGAAACCCATTGTTGGCAGTTGATGGATCCTAATGACAAATGAAACAACAAATATTTTCATTCGGACATTCAAGTGTTGGTATTCTTTTATTTTATGAAAATGTTTACTATAAGATTTCAATTCGTCCCTGTGTGCATTGCATTCGTCTTGATAGTAATTTGTCCTGTTTCAGTTCTAGCATGAGGCTGATACTCTTAAAATCTATAAATTATAATTGACGATGCGTGAAAGTCCTGTAGTGCCTTTATCATCATCATCAACTCATCATACCGGCCGTACAACGCCCACTACATAGGCCTCTACTAAAATTCTCTACACCGATCAGTCCTACGTTATTTGCTTCGAGCGACTTCGCGACCTTTATCATATCTTGGGTCTACCTGATGGTGGGTCATATCCAATGAACGTCAAGTCCTAAGGCATTAAAAACTAAGTAGAGTGGGATGAACGAATATAGCCATGAAGACATACCCAAAGTCAATTTCAGAGTACTGTAATCTGTAAAATAAAATCTCATTGTCGCATTCGCTAGCTCCTAATTTAGCTGTTAGTTGAATAATCATAGAGAAAATACTTCGATTCAAAACTTTTATAATACCAAATAAAGTACAGGCGCCTCTCGTTTACTTTGTGGTAAAAAGTTATTAATTATTATAGGTGAAATAGACGATATATTTTATTCATTCAAATTACTCTTAGCATAGCCACTGTTATTATTAATTTAGACAACAGGCATAAAACTAATCAGGCCAGCGGCAAGGAGAGGTTTATTAATCATAAACTTGGGATAATACAGCGAGAAGATTTATAATTTAAATAAGGGAATAACCACTGGCTGGTTTTTGGCTTCCTCGTTTAATTTAATATTAATTATTCCCCTTTGTTTCGTTTTTATTTTTAAATAAAAATTTATTTTCAACTCCTTTTCAGTAACAAAGTCAATTTAAATTTTCAAGCGATACAAACAAAATAGAGTCAATGTCTTAAAAAAAACTGATATTATCAATAACATTTCATTCCTTTCTTTCGATTTACCACGGAACGATTAGAACTGTTTGGATACTAAATAAGAGAATGCAGTCGCAAACTCACTACAATAACTTCTTAAAAAAATAAACGAAGTGAAAGCTATTTTTACTGAATAAACTAGTTGCATTTTTACGGACTATATATTATTATACATAACCAAAGTATTTGATAACACTTACATGTTTTTCTGCAAGTTGAGAAAAGTGATCGAGTCTCCGTAGCCCGTGAACGCATCTTCGCTGATGTAGGTGATGTTGTTCGATCGCAGGTCTAAGTGACGAAGCCGGTGTAATGGACGCAAAGCGTCTGAAGGGATTTCGTGTAGACGGTTGTCACCCAGTCGTAGGTATTGCAGGTTTTCTAATGCAAGAACAGACAATATAATTAGACAATTATAATTTCAACGACCACGTTACGATTGGCAGCGCACTAATTACATGATAGTGATGAAGTCCTATCTTCTGCTGCAACGATCTCGTTATTAGTCAATACTGGTAGAGGCACTTATTTGTGTACACATAATATATTTCCAAAATCATGCTTGTTTATAAACATAATAATATGTAGGCATTTAGTATAAAAATAAGTATTTAAACAGATGTTTAAATGTAAAGAAAAGTTTACTAGAAAAAATAATCCACGCGGACCAGGCAGCGGACGGGACTCGAACCCGCATCCTTCGCTATCCGGGCGAATGCACTGACGATTATGCTACCACGGCCCTATTAGCCGCGTCGAAATTTTCCTAGCCTTAAGCTGCGAGGCAGCGCCATCTCTTCGCATTGTAGGTAACCCACAATGTCAAATGAATACTTTTTCAAGTATTAAACATTTGAAAGAAGAAATAGCAATAATAGTTATGATTTTATTTATTTTTTAAGCATTTAACTGCTAGATGTTTAAATCTAAAGAAAAGTTTACTAGAAAAAAAAAGCGGACGGGACTCGAACCCGCATCCTTCGCTATCCGGGCGAATGCACTGACCATTATGCTACCACGGCCCTATTATTTTTCTAGTAAACTTTTCTTTAGATTTAAACATCTAGCAGTTAAATGCTTAAAAAAATAAATAAAATCATAACTATTTAAAAAGATATTAAAATTAAAAGAAATATCATCAGCTCTTACTGAAACTCCGCAAATTAATATTGAATTCCCTTCAAATTTACCTTCAAGCCCCGAGAATGCTTTCTCGTCAATCCTTTGGATGACGTTACCCTCGAGTTCCAAGGAGTTCAGGAAGGTCAGGTGCGAGAACACCTGTGACGGCACTTCTCGCAGCTGGTTGTGGGCGAGGCCCAGGGAGTCCAGATTGCGTAAACCTACAACAAACATTGTCATTTTATTGCTATCGCTTCACATAACTATTCATATTTCGTATCTGTACGTTTGGTAGCAGTATATCCTTATTATGGGGTGAAAAGGAGAGAGCTGTCTAATTTACAAATAGCAAACACGAAGTGACATGTGAATGCCGACATCAAACAAGATATTTTTAAATTCTTATAGAATTCGAGAACGTCACGTAAACAAAGCTTTTATCTAATGCCGGCTCCACGTAAGCGTAGCGTAACGTAGCGTGAAATGTTATGAAATAATGGCGTGAGTGCGTCACATCAGTGGTGATGAACCCTAACTCTGAAATCGCGAAAACCATCCACGTTCACTTCCACGCCTGTTCACGGATATCACGGCATAAAACTGGTGACACACCGGCTCCGCTTCGTTTCGGTGTATACTCTAATATTGACCCTTGTATTTTCATTATACATATAAAGCGTAAAATATTCGGTATTCGCTACCGTGTGCCCGAATTTTCATTAAATTTATGAAAAGTTTAATAAAATTACAAATAAAATTGTTTTTCCCAAACATGCTTGGAAAATGAGCAATATTTTGACAACCTTCTTTGAGATAAATTTATATTGCTGTACTAGCCAAATACATGCGAGCAGAGGCCGGCAAAAGTTAGGTTAGGTAGCCAATTGTATTTGATGGGGAAGCAATTACTTGTTTTTATGATCGGTGACTTTCTTCAATGCAAACATCTATGTAACTTAGCTATAATGTGTTCCATACTAAAAGCAGACTATATTTCACGCAATATATTTGTCTTATTCTTGCATTTATTGTTGTCATGCTCTCTAACATAAACAGTTTTACGAGGGTCATATTTTTCTTCCGTTATGTAAGTGCTCACTAGGGATGAACCCATATAATACTGCGGTCAAAGTAATCAGTAATCATCAACGCAAACAGTTGGTAGTTAATAATTAAGTTTGAAAAGAACCTATTGGTCAAAGCATTAGGTATACCATTAGATAATGGATCCAGACTTATGAAAATAAAACTCAGACCTTTCAGAAAAATACAGATATATTTAATAGAGTAAAAGCCCGTGGCCGCCAGACCTTCGTTATTTTATAAAAGCTGAAAGTTTTTCGGCGCATTCCGCGAGTACACGCTCACGCATTATTTTCGTAACGTTACGCATTCGATATTGGTTTGTACTAGGGATACAGTACCTCTAGCACGAACCAATATCGAATTCGTTAAGTTTGCGAGTACGAAATGTCAATGTCAAATTTTGTATGGAAACTTGAACAGCAGCGCCACAAAGTACGTAACAAGAACTAAAAGTCAGTACACATTTGACATTAATATTTCGAACTCGCAAGTAGTAGTCGCAATTCGAATAGTAGAATTGTTTGCGAGTCCAAAATGTCATTGTCATATTTTGTATGAAACTTGAACAGCAGCGTCACAACGGACGTAACTTAAAATACACATTTGAGAATGACATTTTAGACTCGCAAACTATTTGAATTTGATATTGGTTCGTGCTAATGGTACTGATCTGTGAATTTTTATAGTAAAATTTTCTTTTGGTATTAATTATTATTGCTAGTCAAATAGTTGATTTATGATTATGACAACATTTTCACCAGATTATCGAGTAAATTCTGTTCCGTGACTATGACTAGAAAAATAGAACATGTGTCTGCTACTTTAGAGAAATAATGCTTCTATTAAACCAACAAAAAAGACAACTTTTGCAATAGGTACGCATTTCACCTGCAAAGTCGCCTTCAGATATAGAGGCAATCCTGTTTTCCTGCATCTCCAACTTCTTCAAGTTTTCGAGTAGCGCTAAAGCCTTCTGTGGAACCGCCGTAAGATCATTGCCGCCCAGGTTGAGGCGCTTTAGTTTCCTACGGACAAACAATTTATTTGTAGATCATTATGTTTATAAACATTGAACTGCTTGATGATTAAACCTTAAGAAAATGTTACTAGAAAAAACTACATTCGGTCCAGGTTTCAGACCATTGCCGCTATCCGGCCGGAAGAAACGGGCTCTAAACCCGTCGGAACTCTAGACGGAGTTTATTTTAAGCATTATATTATTTTATTTATTTATTTTTTAACACACACCAGTTAGCCTAGCCCTAAAGTTAGCACTGTAGGCTTGTGTTATGGGATACTAGGGTAACGGATAGAACACATATATAAGTATATTTATTAATATAGAAATGCATATTAAACATCCATGACTGGAGTACAAATTCATCACACAAACATCTGCCTCCGCCGATATTCGAACTCGGTGTAGAAACCACTCGGCCACAGAGGTCGTCAATCATTATATTTGAATAGTTCTTGGGCGGTTCACATCGATCATTTTAATTATAAATTTGTTGTTAAATAACAACTATGATTGGATGAATACATAAATAGCAACCCGGCAAACTTCTTGAGCATCATCCATTGACAAGAAAGCCTACGCAGTAGCAATCCTATTAAGTATTATTATAATAATGAAAGTTTGTGTGTAAGTACTCAATCATGCAAAAACGATTGAACATATTTGAATTAAATTTGGTACGCATATATAATAGCAGTTATGCCCTGGAATGAGGTATAGGATGCATTTATCCCGGAAAATGCCGGGTTCTTCTGGGATTCTCAAAAAAAACGAGTGTGCTCACAACCACACGACTGAAAACTCTTTAGCTCCATCTGTATGTATATATATATATATATATATATATATATATGTGTGTGTGTGTGTGTGTGTGTACAAAATATACATACATACATATTTCATTTACTAGCTATAAGAGAAAGAGAGAAAGAAAATGTGCGCGCGCACTGCTTTCATTTGCTTTTATCCCCCACTCAACTCCCGTTCGCCTCGCCCGAACACACTTTTCGTAACGCGTAACGCATTCGCCAGCATACCCTCCAAGTCAAGCGTGCTTAAAGAAGTTTCACTTCAATAACTGAAGTTAACGTTAACCAGTTTTATTAACCGACTTCAAAAAAGGAGGAGGTTCTGTGTTCGACTGTATATTTTTTTAAACAAACACGTCTACTACGCAATTTTATTTGTCTGTGATTTTGTTCAAGGAGTTTGCCGTTACCTCTACAAGTACTTTAAAGCACAAGGTACAATCACTTCCATTTGGTGAAACAGCGTGAGGTTCAAAATATCTTTATTTGGTTTCTGTAATAGATATATTCCTTCTCTACCTTTTGGAAATATTCGATGTTGTCATTTATAAATTAAAATAAGAATTTGTAAAGCCGATGAGAAGGAGAACCGATTGCTCTACCGCAAATATTTAAAAATGTAGTTCCTTAAATTAAAAATTCTGGATACAAACATGTTTTCTTTTCTCACCAAATCTAATGAGTATTACAATATAATAGTTAACAGTATTAGTATCACGAAGACTAATCTTATTGCTGATTATTAACCAAAATATTAGTAGTGGTAAAGCTTCGTAATGAACAAATTTTCAGTGAATAAATTAACAATTCATCCGATTTACTTCCAGCAGGCACCAACAATAATTTCCGTCCGCCCAGGCACTATGTACGTGCTTACGTATACCAAGAACCGTCCCATTTCGGCAGCCATTAAATTTGTCGACTGACCAATTAACATCGACCTTACCTACAAAAAGAATAACACAGGACTGTAGTTCTACGTAATTTGGTGGTGTAAGCCTGTTATTTAGTTTATTTACTTTTCACACGGCCAGAGTTCCCGTGAAGCATTCACGTTTACGTGATAATTGCTGGTGGTACCAGTTTAAAGAACAAAGTCAAGTTTTGTGAATTAAACATATTTTATGGCTACATAATCTGGGTATCGATCTGGCTATACAAATGACGGTTGTTTGTATTCATAACATCAGAACTACTTACCAACATTATTGGAAAAATCAATATCGTCTCAAGGACAGACTCTACCCAAATATCATATAATTCATACAGTAATGTTACGACAGGCGCTCGTATTTCAAAGCTTTCACTATAAAGTTCTGTATTTGGATTGGAATATTAGATAGGAATTTTTTTGATTAGCATAAACATTAAATAAAACACGTTTCAACGGGTAAGATGTACTTATTTCATTTGTTTATTGACGTTTCGCAGCCTTTTCAGGTGAGCGTAGTCGGACTAATGATTTTATTTACTCTGTCGAGCTACCTTCGAAAGACTTTTTATTGAGCATTCGGATATTTCATTGGAAGATTTTAAAATTTTATTGTCTATGCACATTATAAGAAGGAGATTGGAAACCTCTCTGAGTTTGTTACTTCTTACCCGTTGAAACGCGTTTTATTTAATGAGTGATGTGCGTGAAAACCTAAGAAACAAAGAGCATAAGCATCGTTATACCTTTATATTTCTACATTTTTTTCTACAATTCAGTTATTTCTATATTAAAAAACAACAAAGGTCATGTTATAACAGGCATTCCTGTTAATAACTTGCAAATAAAGCTAGCCAAAAGACATATTTTTATTACAAGGAGACAGTAAATAAGTTATTTTATGCGAGCTGCCATCTCGGGGGACATATTTGTTGACAAGTAATGGTAGGTAGTTTATATAATTATTCATGTATTTTAACTGTTATTTAGTATCCGAATAAATCTCAATGTGAAATCACTGGAATACCCAAAGGAACTGTTTTAAAAAAGGTTATAATATTAAATGGGAAAGCACGGCATGCAGTCATACAAAGTGGTCAGGCTGGTATAATAAAAACTGAAACTTTTATTATGCCATGACATATAGTGTTTATGAAATATGACACTTTGTGATAGCTTCAGGTTTTGCTGCATTCCATTAATATGCGAATTTGTTACTTACAATTTCGAATACCGTCACATGGAGGAGTTTAAGGCCTCCCCCCATAGACTCGTTTTTATCGGAAGATAATACATATACGATGCGTTTGTTGCTATAATTATTTTAAGATATTACGGCTACGAAGTAACACACTGCTGCGATAATAAAGACATAATAAAAGCAGGCACAGAATAACGAAATTACGCAACCGATTTATCGACCGATAATAACGCGCCTAGGGGCGGGAGGCTTAATAACATTATTTTCTTAGGATTATTTTTGTTCAGAGGAAAATAAGACTTATCTTATGATTTCCAATACCACCACTTAACTAAAGGAATAATATAAAAATAACGACACTGTGTTCTTAGTATTTTTTCTTTCTTCAAGGAAAAGTTAATAGGACTTACTTCTCGAGTCCCTTGAAAGCCTCCCCGTCGATGACAGATATCCGGTTCTCGTACAAAGTCAGTATCTCGAGGGTGTCCAAGCCCATGAAGGCTCGATTGTGCACCGCTGTCACCTTTACAAGAAGGAACATTTTTATTAGTCTCCACAGCTTTGGCTCAACGTTGGCTTTTATAGGCTTTTCTGGTGTTGAAAATCGTATGTCAATTGTAACGTAAAATAATTCTTCTTTTTTTTTAGGTAATTCTTTGTTTCTTCCCCTACAACACTATGCCGAGGGAACCCAATAGATACATACTAGCGGCCTGCGGCTTTGTCCGCGTTCATTAAAGTTTTTTTGGGAATCCCACAGGAGCCAAATATTTTTCCGGAATAAAAAGTATGCTATATTTCTATCTAGGTACTAAGCTGTTTAGGTGTTTTTGCGTGGTTTAGAAATAAACATACAAACATATTTATAATATTAGTAGGCTTAAAAATCAATCCAAAGTCAAAAAGACATGGTGCTTCTTTTAAGATGAGTAAGTATATTTTAGCCTACATATAATAATGACTTTTTTGTTTTAAAACCTTTCCAAGAGAGGTAGAATTTGAACCCACTTAGTTTCGTGATTCATTTAATAGAAAAACGGCCAATTGCTAGTTGGACTTGCCGACCGAGAGTCTATACATTTGTAAATACATATTATTTCCAGGAATCAAGTCTCGCAGATTTTTCCAAGATTTTCCTTAGTGATATAAGGTAAGTGATACAAATAAGGCCTACTTAATTTCAAATACTCATAACATGATAAATTATTCGAAGAAAGTGATAAATAAAAGCAAGGCATTATTCCTTGGTTCATAAATTTTAAGTAATTAAGAAAACATATTACAATCTATTATCAGAAATCACTTAAAAAGAGCAAATTCTGGAACCTCAGGCTAACCTTAGGCCTTTTAAAAACATAGTGACTTAACAAAGCCTATGTATTTAAATTATAGGAATATTGTTATTAGAGTATAAATTATATTAAAATATGTATTTCTGAGCCTTTAATCAAGTGTTTCCATGGGATCCTTGCACAACATTTTAATTTATTTTACTAAATATTTTGCTACTCAGATTTTTGTTGTAGAACTGTCGTCTACGCGTGTGTAAAGTATTTTTGATGTAAACATATTTTCATAGACTTTTCTGCACTACAGGTCTTATTTCAGCATAGGCCTTATTTGTATCAGGCACCTTATTTACTTATGTTCTTTTGTTAATCATAGCCAATTTAATTTACTCGTGACTAAAGCATTTCTTGCTTTAGTCACGAGTAACCTTGGAAAAAATATACCTTTCATTACGAGAATATAAGATATAAACTGATAAAACTTGCAGTTAGAATCTGTGCGGAAAGAGAATGGGATTTAGATTGGAGGGCGCTGTAGTGTACCGTATTTGTAAGGTTTTAGCCCTTTTAGACATGATTAAATACAAAAAACCATAAGAAATCACAAAAACAAACAAATCCGTATCAATACAAAACTTTGACGTTTTACAGATTGCTGGGTTTGATTGCCAAATAAAAATCTTAATGTTAGTTCCGTTTTTCGCCACGCCCATTCTCTTTCCGCACAGACTCTAGCATAAACGATGGATGTTGGTTAGACTTTTTTGATAATGAGTTGAATTTTGTTATAGTTATATTACTCTAAAATAACATAGTGGATTAAAAACATTCCAAATATAAATTACAAAATCAAACTGTGTGATTTAAATTAACCCGTAATGGAGTTTAGTTTTATAACATCCTGTTTCTACGCTAGAGGCAGAAAGCAGAAGGCCTACTACAATGCTTAAAATTTCAATCTCATTTCAAAACCTAGGATAGTACAAAAAAATGACAAACTGTGATCCTATCATTATTTTTATACGTAGTACTGAATCTGAAAATGAAGGCTCATTCAGATTCAGATCGCCTTGAAAACTGGAGATTCCCATTTTCATTTGGCTTGGCTTTAATTTATATGAAAATTGGATACTTTTATCTCCACATAATTAGAGACTTTTTAGATTAACGGATTATAAAAAAACGAATAATAGAACATTATCTAAATTGCGTCTATGGTTCCCGGGTATTTTATGAACTTTTTAGTCTAGAACTTGCTATCCAACGCTGTCAGCCAATTGGGCACCATTCCTGACGGCGTGACATATTTTTTTATTTTGTGAATTTTTATTTATTTAAGTAGTTAAGTTTTAAGATAATTCTATTTTTAAGTTTTTAGACATTAAAAGGAGTTTGAAATTTTTGTAATTTAAATTCTTAGTTCACTGGGAAGAAGTTGCGGTCAAATTTTAATACCTACATATATAATAAAGATAATACTAAGGCAATGGGGTGACTATTATCTAATATGTGGCAACAATCAGTTATTCGGATTTAAGCTACATGTAGCGCCATTAACAAACCCTAATTAGCAGAATGTCTATTATTGCTATGTTAGCTACAAAGACAAATGTAGGTGGAATTTATGTCATAATAAATATTAATTTCAAGAACCGTTGGATTATATCAAAATACCTAATATATCAACTGTCAATCAATATTTGAATGATAAAACGGCTTGGTTGTAATTTTACCTGTAGATAATTTTTCAAAAGTTATATTAAAACGAAGGCTCCCAGCTTGAGAAAGAAGAGAACCTTCACTTACTCCCTTTCATATACTTGTTAATTTTGTTTTGATAATTGTTTCTTGCTATTTTGAGACTTTGCACTTATTGTTAGTAAATTCGTTGATTGTCTATTGTTACATATTTGACATTATGTGATGGAAGTTGACCTCAACACATGTTTGCAAGTTTGATGTCAACTTTCAATTGGACGACACTGTATGAAATAAAACAGTGAGAAAAAATCACCCCTTGCTGAGTTTCTTTCCGGTTCTTCTCAGTACAAGGTCTCCCGCCGTAGATATGTGAACCGATGGCGTAGCTTTTCGACATTTACAAGTCCTTGTAACAGTCTAGACTGAATAAACGATTTTATCAAAAACCCAGAATAAAAAGAAAACATCTTAGATACATAAAATCATTTCAAAATTACATCAAAACCATTCCTTGAAAGCATTTTCCTTTAGGAATATTTTCCTTGAGTTTCAATCTAGGATGGATGCTGGCACTAATTATTTAATCAAATCACTTCATTAAACACTCAGAAAATCTAGTTAATGTCAACTGTCTTTACGTTAATAGGTATTGTAATATGCTTCCGACAGATTTTGTGTTAGTCAATCTTCATACTATAAAAATAATAAATCTTGTTTTAAATTTTCATGGTCACTAACATTATAGTAATATAAGTTATTTTCGGGATTGTTACCGTGTACCTTGTTACTCCGTGATCATGGCGCTTGCAACAGTGCCAAACTATCGGAAACTCGCTAAAAACAAGGTACATGGTAACAATCTCGTAAATAACTTATATTACTATAATAATAAATCTATCACAAATAACACTCATATTACAGTGAGTTTAAATATGCGAGGAGCTCGATGGCGCAAGTGGTTATTTTAGCGCGTTCGGCTGCGATCGTTGATGTTAAGCTTTCGCAGAGGTCTGTCATTGGATTGGTGACCAAAAACTTATCTGGAGTACTTCGTGCTTCGGAAGGCACGTTAGGTCGTTTGTCCCGGCTGCATCTGCAGTCGTTAGCACCCACCAATCCGCGGTGGGCCCGCGTGGTGCCCCAGCAGTGTGGACATTAAAAGACAAATGATGAAAGGATATGTGACCTTGTTACCAGGAAGAAAATACAATACAGAAAATATAAAGAGTACAATAGTAAAATGTATCATCCATCATTAATGTTGGGCACAGACCCATTCCTTATGCACTACACAGGCCCAGTGTGGATTGTTGGTTGTTAACGACAGCTAAATATGCAGCCAGAACCAACGGCTGATCAAAGGTTGAAAATAGTATATTTGCGTTCACCCCTCCAATGACCGGGCATTGCGAAATTACTTCTTCTAACTTCCACGATCGCAAGTCGAATGTGTTTATCACCTTTTTTTTTGTCTGGAAAATGCCTTACGCATCCTTCAACCACTGGGGGAGTGAGAATAAGGTATGTGGGACTCCTCCCTGTCCTTTTCAGCCAGCCCTGGAGCTCGCTGATGTGAACAGGGCTCTACCTACGCCATGTACAAGACCACTAAAAACCAGACAATATTCCTGCACCGTCACCCGACACGCACTATGAGGACCGCGGTCCCCCTAGTGCATGCCGAGAGGGCGGGTGTGGTCGTGGAACCCGTCTCCGAATGGCCGCACGTATGTGTTTATCACCTGCTCCATCGAGCTCCTGCAAACGAAGTCTCTTTTTATATGTCAATAGTTTAGGCCTTATATTATTTACCTTATTGTGGTTCATGTTCAAAATAAGGAGATGATTGAGATGGGTGAACGAAGACGTGGGGATAGTCGCTAAGCTGTTCTGCGATACGTCCAGCTGTGTGAGCTTGTTACCTGTTAAAAGAAAAAAACAATAAGGACGCCATCATAACATAATGGTCATCTTCCTGTTGCTGGCAACACAAATCTATACACATACATAAAAATAAGTAGTCGAAAAGTATGCACGTACATAACTTCCGAACGACTTTACCAAATTAGATATTTATTCCTCTATTGTGTTTGTTATTGTCAAGATAAGGTTTGTATAAAAGAAAATATTTAAAAAGTCACATCGCAAAATGAATTCGTAAGGCGCATACGTAAAGCCTGCCCCCCATAGGCGTTTTATTATCGGTCGGTAATATCGGATGTGTTATTGCGATATCTGTTTTTAGTACAATATGTATTAGAACGACAACAAAGTTACACACTGCTGCGTTAATAACGACGTAATAGAAGTAGGGCGCATTATCATCGCAATAACGCATCCGATATTATCGATCGATAAAAACGCACTTAGGGGCTAAAGGCCTGTGCTTATTTGTTTCACATTCACTCCAAATCAATGAAATGCTAGATTCGAACAAAAAATTAAGGAAAAATAGCATACACAAATCTGAAGACATAGAAAATGTTTAGCAAGGTGACAGGAAGAATATGGTAAGTATCAATATTTTATTGCCATATGACATAAATCTTAATTACCTACTGCATTAATGGTTTTAACAAGAAAAACCACCGAATTTCCCAGTAAGTCGTAAGAGTCGACTAAGGGATTGACTGTGTTTGGAGAATATCGGGCGAAGACGTGGAAACCAAACTTAACCTCTTTTAAATCGAATTCCTTTTTATTTATTTAAAGGAAATTTTGAAAATTCGAATAAGGCCAGCTCGATAAATAATCACGCATATTATTGTTTGATAATTCATCGAATTGCCAATATATATAAACTATTTGATTTCGTCGATTGCGTCAAAATCGAAACGCAACATCTAACTTTCATTCGGTTGAACCAAGCCAAACTGCATTCGAAGAGTATTTACGTGATGCAAATATAGCCGATGGAGATGTAGCTAACGGTGGTCGATTGTTATGACCATTCTCCTACCAATGCATGCACAGCCGTAGTATGCGTCATATGTATGAACATGAGCAAGATGCAATGACAAACATGACTTTCACGACCACGCTAGATTTTAGCGTATTGTGATCAAATAAATAATAATAATAATATTAATAATATTGTTTAATGATAAAATATATATTTTTTTTTTCTGCAATTTGTACCTCATAATTCTAATATTATGTTCTCAACTTTACCACTCCAATTACAGGTGGAATTGAGCGATTTTGGAATTTTTATTCAATTTCAGTTCTTTTGGTTTTGTTTCATTCCAATATCCAAGAGTTAAATGCCCGCCTCTATTAATTGAAGTTGTAGTTGCCTTGTAATGAATTTTCAGCTGGCAGTAAATATGAGGATTACATTGCTGAACTATCAATCGAACAACGTTCCGCCTAAGACATCATTTTCATACAAAAAGAATAGAAAACTCTTTATGGACTTGCACCGTGGCTCTTAATTCCTTAATGCACACACAGGATCACGCTATTATCGCTTAATATTATACCCATATTATTCATGTAATTTTATTACTAAAAAGATATGAAGAATTTTGTGTTTGTTTGTAACCGTATGTACAATAAGATTCAGAGTATTTTTTATAAAACAAGTTTGATTGTAACAGTCTTCGACAAACGAAATAAATAAATGAAAAAATATATATCTACAAAAGGTTTCTCAAAAAATTGCTAAGTAAGTATGGTAAAAGCTGTGTTCCTGTCGAACGCGTAACTTTTATTTCCTTCAAATTATTGTAAACGGTACGTAGTTCGCCGGGTCAGCTAGTATTTTATAACTTAAAAAGTTTATGTTGTTTCTGGTTTCCTTATTATATCTCTATTTGTATGATTACAAAATGTGCTGATTGTGAAAAATTAAATAACATCGAATTTCTGCAACTGCCGGTTTTCTTACCTGCAACCAGAATATACCTACAGTCCACTTTAGGAGCGCAACACTTCATGTCATGCGTATTATCGCCCGCGTGTGTGTATGATCTGCATGCTGACTGTTCGCACTCTATAGTTTCATACTTGTTATTCTAGTGTAAATAATTATGAAATATCTAAGAGGATACTGGGTATTGACTTGTGCGCGAACAGAGACCGATTTTCAACTAAGGGTCTAGGTCTAGGAGATATTGCACTAAATTGTCGTTATGGTTATATATCCAAAAGGACAGTATATGATTCCAATGTTAATCAATGAATTATTACTTACATGTCGGTAAGACATGACATTGACAACACAATACAACAGCATGCCTTTGCATTTGCGGTAACAGATTAATAGATTGTTAATTAATTCGGTTAGGTACGCTAGAACTGTAATTATTCATGACGAGATGGTGTTTCTAGCCAACCTGACACTACACAGAGACATCTGACAGAGATTGATAATTACATATTTATAAATAATTCGAGAACTGAGAGCGTTGGCCTTACAGTAATTAATTTCAAGAAGAACATGGTCTCATAAATTTCCTTCCTTCAGGCTATATCTTGTGATGTCTGACTATCAATCTAGCCCTTGGGAAAACCCGCAGGCCTATAACGTAAGTAAGAGACACTTGTCCCACAGGCGACGATGAACGAGAAGCGAGTAGAACTAGAAACTAAAACTAGATGATGAGCAGCGGGAAGCGAGTGTGTAGTTCAACGGGCGATTACTCGCTCCAATCCATCGCGGTGACAATCCTGAGCTGCACGCGCCTTGCCGTGATAGACACCTAAGCAACCATCACTGAGCGAGTATTATCTTTGATAGCTCTTGTAGCTCACAAACTAGTGGAGCGAGTTCTAGGCGGCAGTGTGAACAGTTAGCAATCAACTGTCTATATATGCATCTATTTGTTTATAGGTAATGTATATCGTTTGTACGTTTCTTGAGCGAGAACATAGGCGATAGTTAGTCGCTTCCTCGCCGGCGGTGGGACAACTGGCATAGCAACCTGCGACCACTAGGCGAATGCGTTTCTAAAAACGACATGAAATTACAATATGTGTCGTGGCTCAGAACAGTAATGGAGGTGAGTTTGGTGTTGTTTACTTTTTAGAATAATTTTAGCGGCATCTTGAGTGTCTATTCTTGTCGTCGTAGCAACCAGTCGCAACCAGTTTGGGATGAGTAAGGAAAAAGGATGGCACGTCATAGGATTAATATGGAACAAATCCATATAGAATAGAACAGGTAATATAGAACTGCGGTCGCCTAAGCTCGTAACTATACGAATTAATATTTTATTAAGCATTTTTTTTTCTTTACTTCTGCTACTGTAGAATTCTACAACGCATGTGTAAACTCGGTAAATACGGCGAATATATGTAACTTCGGTGTCAATAAGCTTATAAGGCAACCAACCAATAACCAACACTTACCAATGGAACTCAGAGAAGAGTCTTCAATAACAGCAAGACTGCTGTTATGTACTGTGAGATGGCGGATGTCGAGCCCGAGGAAAATGTATGAAGGAAGCTTGGCCAGGTTGTTGTGTCTTAGCTTCAAGTAGAAGATGATCATGGGCTTCGAACGGAGGGTGTTCATTGCCTGTAAATTAAGGTAACTTTAATAAAATAGAAAACTGATGAGATACCTAATTGCTGTGTTCTATCGTGTCTGTTGCTACCAAATTGTTCTCACAAATGCCAAAGTTTATTTTTAAATCCCTCGGGAACCTAACCTGGAATAAAAAGTATCCGATCTCTTTCCAGGTTATAAGTGTGCAAAATTTCATCCAAATCCGTTCAGCCGTTTTTGCGTGACTGAGTAACAAATATTTATAACATAGGTATTAGTAGGATTTAGCGGCAACAAACACTCAGGAGCAAAGGAGAGCGGCTCAGAAATAATGTTCAGTTGTCACCCTTTGGGTTGGGTTAACGGTTTTTTTTTTAATCTTCGAACATAATTGAACCGGTGTTGGTTCAATACGGCTTTCAAAAGAGCAAGTCTACTGCTCAGCTTAGATTAAAACAAAAAGGGTAGATACGGCACTAGCCTCACAAAAGTGATCCGCATGAATTGTGGTCCACGACCCTAATCGCTTTAATCACAATCACAACTTGACATGCAAACGACGTACATGTGAACGCCAAAAAGAAATATTGCTAATATTTTGTGTTTATATGACATAACAATGCGTAAGTGTGTTTTTAAAAAGTGCTCAAATTGCTCAAGAACTAAAAATAAAACCTACGGCATCACTTTTCATTCGTAAGTACTATAAAATATATTTTTTCATAAAAATTGCTGTTTGTTTTGAATCTTATTCGGTAGTGACGTCGAGTACTGGTCGCGTGATTGGCCGGTAGTGTCGGTAGTGCAGTGACGCGGATCTCGCCGTCTCGTTCGTGCCGTTGTTGAAACTTGCTGTTTCGTTCGAGTCGGTAATGCAGTGACGCGGATCTCGCGCCCCGTCCCGTTCGCGCTGCCGTGGGATCAGTTTGTGTTTGATGCAAGTATAAGCGTACCGTATCTACCCCTTTTTGTTTTAATCTAAGCTGCTCAGGCGGGTTTTGGCCTAGTGCATAAAATCATATTGGGACTTGATAAAAAGTAACGAACTACTAGTCTCTTCTTTGACATGTCCAAATCATTCAATTTCGTAGTACATGATGTATTGCTTGACAAATTAGAAATGTACGGACGTTGTCTCTCTTGGCTTAAAACATATCTGGATTATATACAATAGATAACAAATATGTAGAAATTAATAGAATGGATTCCTACTGGAATACAGTTGTTTCGGAACGTTCTAAATATAAAATTTGGAGTACCGCAAGGTAGAGCACTGGGCCCTCCTTTATTCTTAGTGTCTACCAATCATTTGCCAAAAGTGACAGAAAATCAATATTAATATTTGCTGATGACACCTCGGTTATTATTGAAACTGATTACTATAGTAACATAAGCGATCATTAAAATGACATTAATAAAACAATTTATGACAATTAAATATCTTGATTTAAATAATCTTCACGTAAATTTAAGTAAGACTAACTATATAAATTTCAAAGTAAAAGGCCGCTCAAGTGGTGAAGTTAAAATTTGCAATAATAATCAACGTGACAACACATTCTTTCCAATTTCTCTATTTTATTTATTTTTTTATAATACTAGCGGCCCGCCCTCGCTTCGCTTCGGTGTAGAGCTGAAGTGTAGATTACAGTTTTTGTTCTCAGGCTTGTATTATACACAATGACATTCATCTATGATTCTCCTTATACCTGCATGCAAAGTCTCAGCCCGATCGGTTTAAAATTGATAAAGTTTCATACAAACTTTCATTCCTTATTTTATCCCCTTGGGATTTTCTTTATATTTTTTTCCGTAAGAACCTTGTACAGAGTATTAGAAAACTACAAAAAAAAAAACAGCCAAATCGGTCAAGCCGTTTTCATGTTATGTCGTGACAACGGAAAACGGGTTTCATTTTTATATATATAGATTTTAATTTGGAATCAAAAATTCGTATTACTATATTTATAATACCAAAGTTATCTGAATTCAATCTATTACAAAACCAAAAATTAAATAGAAATAAAAAAAGAAAATTGTTCACAAACAAAAAATGATTACCCTGATGACATGTGAAAGTGTCAAAACAAATAATGAATAAAAACAACAAAAACAACAGAGAATGGAAATGAATCAACAATGTTGACGAGGAGTAAAGCACGTTTGAGATCACCGGACTCGTCAGGTCGCTCCGCCTCGCAGTTATCGGCAACAGTTACAGTACCGAGTACCCTCCGGCTGACACCTGCAGTTGCGTCGAGCGATAGTGACGAGTACTTCTCTCCTCCGGCGACGCCACCACCAGTTCGTCGAAGAAGAGGCCGGCCACCGAAGGGTTTGGGGCTTGTGGGGCAATCGGCTCCGGTCAGGGCCCCCGCTCCCGGTGGAGTGCACCGCATGCGATGGACAACTTCCATAAACGAAAGTGTCATGCGTGCATATTTTGAGGCAACAGAGACAGGAACCAATCTTACTGCGTACCGTGCTCGGATGCTTTCTCTGTTTCAGGCTCTTGAACCAACCGTCAACGTTTCGGCTCAACGATTATCGGATCAGGTGCGGGCCATTCAACGGGGTCACTTATTGGATGACTCTACACTTGATTGGCTCCGTACAGAGGTACAAAGTAATCACATCGTTTCTATTGCATCACAGGCGGCAAATCTATCTCCGTCCATTACAGCATTACAAGCTGACGTTGCTGATGGTGATGATAGAGACGATGTGCTTACTACTGTAAGTTCCCAATATAATGATGTATTGAGGAGTACTTTCGAGGATGTAGTTCGGGAATTTCGATCCACTCCGTTGCGTCTTAGACCACGGCTTCCACGTTTCCCTATGCACAAAAAAAATAGGGCGCTGATGTGTGCTTTAGATTCGCTATTATCAAATTATATTGATAGTAGCGAAGACCTCGCTGATACTCATTCGATCTTGTACTGTGCGGCTGTTACGGCTTGTCGTGTGGCGCATGTCAAATTCTCAAATACTGACATAGCAACACGCCCTAGACAGGCTGTACCAGCCTGGCAGTGCAGGATTGAGAACCGTATTAGCGAGGCTAGGGTACTCATCGGTAAGCTCAGCTGTTTCAGGGAGGGCAACACCCGCCCTAGGGTCATGCGCTTTGTGAGGCGTGCATTCTCGGGAACTGGTATTAGTCCCGAGAATTATAGTTCACGTGTCACAGAGCGCATTGACTTTCTGAAACAGAAAATTTGTGCATGGGCTAATCGCATTCAGAGGTATAAGTTGCGAGTGAGTCGTTTTACTCAGAACCGCATGTTCGAAAGAGATCAACGTTGTGTTTATCGATCCTGGGAGCGATCGAATCATAGTGATATTGATACGTGTCGACCGGATGATGAGGCCATGATTTCTTTCTGGCGCAACATCTGGTCCGTGCCTGTCACTCATTCTAATGGCGCGTGGATGAGGGATGTTGAGCGATCGTGCGAGCTTTTACCTGAAATGAACGATGTGACCATTGACTACGAAGACGTAGTTTGTGCAGTTCGTTCGTTACCCAACTGGAAATCGCCAGGCCCAGACGGACTGCACAATTTCTGGTTCAAATGGTTACCAAGCTCACACGTTTGCTTAGCATCTCAATTCCAGCGTGCTTTATCATCTCGGTCGCTTCCAGAATTTATGACAACAGGCATAACCCATCTGCTCCATAAATCTGGTAGTACTACGAACCCAAAAAATTATAGACCAATCATCTGTCTGCCAACAATTTATAAAATTCTTACATCTATTTTGAGATCTAAGAGGGCGGGGGATGTGTTAAGTTTGTATACAGCACAAGACGGCTAAACCTAACACATCACCTATTTTACCATTCTGTGTCCCGTTTGGTAATCTGGCTAATGGTCTGGGGAGCGAGCGCATGTCGTGTAGATCCCCCAGACAAGCCTGGCTGTTTTCCTTCACGTGGTTGCCGCCTGTTATTGGTCTGATTCCCTATGAAACAGACGTAACTGAAACAGTCAGACGACTTCCCCCCCCATCCACCAGGAAAAGGGAGGCGGCCTGGTGGTACTTCAGCCTCTCCTGCGCTAGGACCTGCGCAGCACCGCCGTGAGCGGGGATGAAGGGATCCTGGTGTTTGAGCGGAAAGGGTAACTGCGGCACCCCGGAAGCAACACAGCACTTTGGCCCGGATTTCCAGCGAGACGGTAACCTCGTGGTGTAGCCGACCACGCGGCAACGGTCAAGGCGTCTACCGTCTATGGGTCGCCGGCGAGGGGCATGGGGGTCGCTTTTAACATCCAGCGATGGACTCCGGCCATGCTGACGGAGCAAGGTTGCATGGAACCACTGGTGGTTGGGATCGACCACCAGCCATGTAGCTGCAGCTCCCGATGTCGCGCAGGGAGGAAAACTCTGTGCCCCTATATCCTCACCACAATCCTGGTGCCTCGATTTTTGATATCGGCATCCCAGTTGTGGCTCCGTGGTGGGTGGGACTGGTGAGGATGAATTTTTGACAATAACGTGGACATGGAACAACAAAGATCCCTTAAAACAAAAACCGACAAAGACGACAAAGACCTGTTGAAGGGGAAACCCGGTGTCAGGCAGACCGACATGACAAGCAAACCATCGACCTCACGTGCGGCGGAAGTCCTGTTGAAGGGGAAACCCGGTGTCAGGCAGCAAGCACATGACTTACCATCGACCTCCCGTGCGGCGGAAGTCCTGTTGAAGGGGAAACCCGGTGTCAGGCAGCACGCACAAGACAGTTCAGAGGCAGAGCTTGACTCTTGGAAGGTCGTCTCCCATCGCCGTAAAAAGCGGAGGGGTGGTGACCGGAACAGTAGTCGCAATGCCGATGGACACAGACCAGACAATGACGGACAGACTGATCAACTTAAACTCAGTAAGAGGGCGAGGAAAATCAGGAACCGACAGAAGGCTTTGGAGGACGCCAAGAAATTGGCGCATACTAGCACTCCGAGCGACAAAAAGACAGACCAAGACACACACACAGACAGACAAGAGACCTCCAAGCGACCTAGGCT